CGTTATTAATTTTTTCCACAAGTACGAAAATCTGTAATACCTCTGAATTGTCAGAGTTTCTGCGTTCCTTCTCAGTCGGCGAACATGTAAACGATCATCCCAAAAGCGCGAGCAGCTCGTCATCTGACGCTTCCAGAAATAATCGAGGAAGAATCGACGAGAATCAGGATGCTGTGGCGCTGCGGGATTACAATGGCAACAGCGACAACAGCAGATCGTCGACTCCAGAAAGTCAGGATGACGACCCAGCGTTCGACGTTATTACGACGAATCGTCAGAGCGTTTGCGACGACGTCGACTCTTTTTTCGTAAGAAATATCTTTTCAGATTATAGTCTTTGTCAATATTTTTTTCGACTAACACCACGTCAACGAATCCTCAATAACAAATCTACTGTCAACAAATACATAATTTTCACACATACAGGATGACTCACCATCGACGAAGATTAATAGTTCGGTAATAGATTTTTTCGCATATTTGGAGTCGTTACTTCCTCAGCGAAAATTTAACGATCGACGTTCGTCATTTGACGAAACATTTTATTTTTCAACATTAAATATCACGGTAATTAAACGTCAAATTAGAATTCCGCTGAAAGTCTACTTGAAACATTGACTGAAAATTAACTGATTCTTATATATCTATATAACAAACTTTTTTTTAAATTTTGCTCTTTATTTTTTGTTTATTTCTCTCTCCCTCTCTCTCTCTTTCTTTCTATTATACAATGTAAAGTTTTATACATCTGAAAAAAAATACTGTCACTATGTGTTAAAATATATAAAATTTAATATGAGATTTCGAGATTTCAACTTTTTGCTTGTTGAATCAAAAATAATATTTAATTACGGGATATTTTTTTCTTCAAATATTTTTATATAAAGCGGATAATCTGGATAATTTTCTTGAATAATTTCAGACGCCGTTGGACACTAACAAAGTGGAATACCCGATCGAGATGGCAAATGTACCGGACGATGCGTCGAAGGAATGGAACAGCGAGGATGACGCGAAGCCGACGAATCGAATTGGATCGATATCGAGACATTCGACTCACGGAGAGCTAATCACCGTAAACGAGAATCGCAGCGGAAGTGCGGAGAGTAGTTGCAGCATGAAACCGGAAGATGTTAGATCGAGCGCGAGAAGAAAATCCATCGTATCCGTGATCTCGAACGAACGCATTCTACCCTACGAGGATCCAAAGATAATCAAGGAATCGCTGCAATCGAAGGCCCCGAGTCCCAAAAAACCGGACTCGCTGTATCTGTCACCCGAGAATCGCAGCATCAATAACTCGCCAATCTCCGACTCGCCGGCGAAACAAAATTCTCGCTGCGGTTCGCGCAATTTGGTTAGTAGACAGCGAAACGTAAAAAATTGATAAAATTATCATTATCGATCTATTTTTGTCACGATTTGACTAATAATTGTAAGTACAATTAAATTTGGCGCATTTTATAAATTATTAAATTCATCTTACTGTTATAAATTATTAAATTTATTTTTTTACAAATTATTAAATTTACTTTAATT